CAACCCATACAGCTTGACACTGATAGCTATAAATTAACAAGACACAACCCATACAGCTTGACACTGATAGCTATAAATTAACAAGACACAACCCATACAGCTTGACACTGATAGCTATAAATTAACAAGACCTCAACCCATACAGCTTGACACTGATAGTTATAAATTAATAAGACACAACTCATAAAGCTTGACACTGATAGCTATAAATTAACAAGACACAACCCATACAGCTTGACACTGATAGTTATAAATTAACAAGACTCAACCCATACAGCTTGACACTGATAGCTATAAATTAACAAGACACAAACCATACAGCTTGACACTGATACTATAAATTAACAAGACACAACCCATACAGCTTGACACTGATAGCTATAAATTAACAAGACACAACCCATACAGCTTGACACTGATAGCTATAAATTAACAAGACACAACCCATACAGCTTGACACTGATATATGGAAAGTGAGTTATATGATATGGAGGTTATCACATGACTTCGACTTGTAGTTTCCTTTTCCCAACAGTTTGTTTAGCAGATCCTTTGCTCGTCGCCCGATTCCGTACAAGGAACTTTTGCTTCGAGACTTCCGCCTTCTACCAGGTGGCGAGAAACGACTAAGATCCTTCAGTTGTTGGATTTTAAGACGGACTTGACTAACAATACGTACCAGTAAGTCATCGGTCTTATGGTTGATAGCTGCTGACGTCTCCATGAAGTTACACTCGTACGATATGGCTATCGTTTTAGCCTCTAAAAAAAAAACCGCAATCAAACATTATTGAAGCATCTGAAACAATTCCCAATGTATGAAAAAAGTTGCAGTAAAAATTCTCTGTGAACAACAATGTAGAGATATATCAAAACAATTCTTTTGTATGACAATAAATATGTATCGACACAACACTTAACGTATAGCAACAAAGATGTATTAAAAAGTATGAAAACAAAGATGTATCAAAACTATCTTTAGTTATGAGAAGAGTGTTGTATGCTTAAATATTTCTTATTGCATAGTAATAAACAATAGTTCATACCTTAATACACAATGCCAAAGGTTATGAAAACATCTCTTAAAATATATAACGAAGTAGTATTTGCTAGTGTTAGTGCTTTATGATACTGATAGAATTTACTTATGCAATTTTTAAAAATGGATACGATATCCCTATGTTCATCAAACAAGTAACTATTTATGCTTGGGATGACATATCCTTAGTCGTAGACATATAAAAAAATCTAATGTTTTGGCAGGTTAACCTTTCTTCTTCAAGGATGAAGGCAAAAACAAACCACATTTACAGATATTAGGAAGTATTCTAACAACAGTAGAGAGACGAAAATGAATTCCAAGACGATAACAGATTTGCTTAACGTACAAAAAAGCGTCTTTAAACTTGGAATTCATGTTAATGTTTTATACAGAAACATGATACCCTATTAATATTTTTTATAAGGTGCTAGAAAATAGTAAAACTTATATGCAGAGCAATGATTCGATGTGGATAAAAAGGAAAAATTCAAATAATTAATGACGGTAAAGAGAAGACCTCGAGACTGGCGTTCTCTATTAATGAAATAGAGATTTCTGTTTAAGTATATATTAATGTACAGTAACTTACCGTTTGTCGACACGGTTCTCGAACGTACGAGGTCTGACTTGTTTCCAACCAGGATCACAGCTCTCGTTGCTGTATAGCCTCTTTCCCTTAATACAAATAGAATATCCATAGCTATTTCAAACGTACCTCTGTCAGTCATGGAGTAAACTACAACATAAGCATCGGCAGAGCCCATAGAGTCCTCTTCAGGATCCTACAAGATCAAACATTATCTTTATGTAAATTACACACACATGAAAGTGCTTGAAAGTGAGACCAATCTTAATAAAATCTTCTTAGGTTGAAATTGTAAACCTGATAATCTTTTATGATTAAGTATTAGGCTTAGTTTTAGCTGATTTAATATAATTACCTGATATTGATTCCAACTGAACTCGGAAACTTCTGAGATACGGAATAAATGGAATTGCTCTTTCATACAAAATTAGAGATATTTGATATATTTCGGTAACTTACTTGGTCAAGAAAGGTTTTCACTTTTACTTTATTACTTTTCTAGTACATATCGTGAATGTTTTTATTGAAGGTGTAAATTTTTTAGTTCTTTTAACTCATTCATAACTAATATTGGTGAACTGCAATTAAGTATTGTTCCGGTCACCGAACAGCATTCTATCCAAGAACTAACATTATACTTTAACTTCCAAAAGGAATTTTAAACTTATTCAACTACCAACATTATATTGTGGCTTTCAGAAATTTTAAGCACATACGACAACAAACATTATATCAGGGTTTCATTAGAAAGACTTCCAAACTCATCCAACAACTAACATTATATCTGACGTTCACAAATAGTTTTAAATGTAAATATATTCAACTTCAATGACTTTTTTTCATCAGATAAGAGTAGGGGCCATGTAACGAAATATTTCTGTAGGTATGGTAGAAAAAGCACATTTTGGAATTGTTTTCAGAATATCCATCAGAAAATTTGGCCGTTTCTATACTAACATTTTTGGAGCTGTCTTTTGACTATTTTATTACCTCTGTCTAAAATTCAGATCCTTATTACTCCAGACTCTCTCCCTTTTTCTTGACGTAAAAGTTTTTATAAAACCATCACTTCAGTCCGCTATAGCCCCAAGGCCTCTGACAGTAATGCTAAAAGTTCTGAACATATAGTGCATTAGAACTCTAGGAAACGTATGTAACAATGACAATGTATTTATCTAAAATCCTTGTGAATCATCTGTTGTTTTTGGAATAAATATTGCTCCGTTTCCACTGTCAAATAGGCCAATTATTACTTAATAATAGAGGCCATTCATCTCACAAGGCAGACCAAACAAGAGTAACTACTCTATGTCATAACCAACTCCTCTCTTCCCAGATTTTTTTAACATTATCAAATGCAAATTCAGTAAGATCCAATGATCCTGAACCGAAAGTCATTTCCCAAATGTATATTTTGTCTCCACAAAAAAAACTTGCAGCCTGTTCACAGCACTCTGAGAGGTGCAAGTTCCTTTTTAGTTTGATATTTGATTCTGTTATAGATTACATTATCTATCGTGTTATCCTATTTATAAATAAGTTAAAGGTGCATCAGGTATGTATTGTAATAACAGCCTTTATGCTTGTGCTTATAATCTTAATAATACATTTCGTATTCTTTTTGAATAAGTAGAGTTGTTTAAACATTTGTTTAACAACAAGTAAAAGCTTGGAATGGTCTATTCTTTCATTCGGGTGTATATCTGTGAGCCAGACTAGTTTCGGAGAATCCCACTCTTCATCAGTGACCCTGGACACTACCACCAATGACATATAAGACCAAACCAAGCCTTTATTCGAGAAGTGAAATGAACATTTAGTGACCGATATGCATAAAGTAGGAAGTTTCCCATCCATTGTCAGTTTTCAACCAAATACTCTTCTGGTTAATGAGAGAAATTAATAAGTAGTTTCGTTGGGATTTACAGTTAAAACTGCCTTATGAATTTTTAATACATTTGTATATCTTAGATAATTAAATATATATTTTTGATCATTTCACAAAGAACTTAAACATGTTATACACAAACCACACATATATATACACACACACACAGTAGGTTCAATACGTTATATTAAAGCGATTTTGGAGACTCAACATATCGTTACAGTCCACGTCATGCCTTATCTGAAATTGTGTATCTTGGCAATAGCCCTGTAGAGTAGTTTCCGTCGTAAGCCCCCAAGTGACTCAGCAGTAAGTCTGCAGGCTTACGACGCTGAAAATCGGGTTTCGATACCCGTGATAGACAGATCACAAATAGCTCATTACATAGCTTTCCGCTTAGCAACAACCAAACCAAAAAAAAAGGTTCAGGTGTAATGTTGGCATGTCTTAAGCACACTCTTTTACCTGATACTCTCCATAATCCATCTAGTGTATGAAGATGACAGTTTCCCAGTGCCTGTTTCAACAGTTCACATAGAATTGTCTTCATATGGAGCAGCATGGCTACCCATTTCATTCTCGAGCTGCTTGAAGTACACGATGGTTGAATTGGAAGTATGACTGGAAGCCTTATCTTAGTGAACCCACACCCTGTTGGCCTTGCTTCCGTACAAAACTGATATTTCTGTGTGGAGTATAAATTGTTTAAGACACTGGACTAGCAGTATTCAGAGCTCACCTTGACATTTGTGTTAACACTCTCAATCCCTATCTTGTCCCTGGCATAGTGTCCAGCGATGATCATGAGTCCTTACGAAAAAGTTTCGCGGCATGTCTTATAATATTTTAAAAACATTTTCAACACACTGACTAGTAGGAAATGGCACGGGACTTATTGCAGTTGCCAAAGTACACATACGATTCATCGAATATCACCATGTTCTGCCATTTTCCCACGGCTAGCCATCCTTTATGTAGATTTTACAGTTGGTATTCCTTTGTAGGATAATAACTTGTGTCATTTTCCCAGACAAATATCATTTTGATTACGTCGCGTCCTGCTGCTTGGAGCACATGGAAGACTTTTTGCCACTGACTTTTGTGCTTATGGATTCTCACTGCTACAATATACCGCTCCTTTGCTTACTACGGCTTGGGTACGACGTATTGCAATTCTTTTTCTGAATGATCTTAGTTCCCAAAGTTGATTCATATTCCTTTGTCTTATGATGTTATTAAATACAAGGGATATATATTGGAAATACTTAATCCCGTCGGAAAGAGCTGTTAAACGCCCTTCTCAAAATTGATTGACTTTCGGTGGCATCAGTCTACCTACGAAAAGACAAATAATGTCAAATGTAGTTTGATACATGCCGTTTTTCCGCAACTTTATATCGACTGGGGTTTTTACGCGATTTGTTAATTTGCAACATTGCCCCTAAAGTTCCATCTATATAAATTGGGCATTAAGAATACCAACCATAGTCCAGTTCAGGCATTTTCTTATCATTATAAATTGTGACATGTTGGAGAAATAAGGGAACTCTTTTTTTTCTTCCTCTTACTCTTGTTTTGGATTATTCGTACAAACACATTTTTATCAAAAATTTATTGTTTTTTTTACAAACCCTTTTTCATTATATATGTATATAAATGTAATTTGATGTAATATATTGTTTTGTAGTAAGAATCTATGCAAACATATGTGTATATAGACATTAGAAATTCATTTGTATTATAAGACCGTATCCAACAAAATATTGTTCATACATGACATTTTTATGTTAATCAAATAGTTGGGATGATCAGATTTCAAATAATAAAATCAGAACAAACTCAGATTTTCATATCGTTGCACTGGGACCTCCTTTCTTAGGGAAAATTAAAAATAATTAATTATGCAAGTTATGGATATAACCACGGTGTGAAATAGGTATTTATACTTACGTCATTACTACTGCAGGTATCTCTCTGACGACTGAAATTTTTGAGCAGCATTTCATTGGCCAGGAGTTTGTCGTAAAATTCTCAACAACTGTCATTCATACCCACTATTTGGTTCCATTAAATAAATGCTTCACTACTTGAATATTAAACATCGGCTTAAACAGCACTTGCTATTTACATTAAATTATCTCTCTTTGTTCTAGGAGTACAAAATTACATGCTCACTGGCTCATGAAATGATGTTGTAGTCTCCCCTACTGTCAACTTCAGAGGAAGCAGCAAATGCTATTCTGAGTCCTTTCGAGCTATTTCATGATTTCTCTACTCATAAAAAAAATGTATGTGTTAATTCATGGTTGTCAGATGCCCTCTACTCATTAAAAAAATGTATATGTTAATTCATGGTTGTCAGACGCTCAAAGTACTGAATAAAAGTGTAAATAATCTATCGAGACTTATCCTTTCAAAAAAGGGACTTTTGGCCACCCTGCATAGAGTGTGAAGATATTCGAAAACAGACAACTTGTTATTGATGTAGTTCTCCTGTTTTTTATTTGTTGCTAAGCGTAAAACTACACAATGGGCTACGTGTGCTCTGGCCACAGCGAGTATCGAAACCAGATTTTTGGCGTTATAATCCTTCAGACTCACCGCTGAGCCATCAGGGGAGGGATAAAGCTACACAATTGGCTATGTGTGCTCTTACCGCTGCTGGGAATTGAGCCCTGGAGTTTAGTGTTGTAATTATTTAAGCTTATTGTTGATTCACTGCGGAGGAGGGATGGACAACTGTTGTGTCTTTCATCTTTAGAAAAATATTAATTAACTTCTAATTATTCTGGTTCTCTATATGCTGCTATATTGCTTGATAATTGCGGCTTAACTACTTTAAAACATAGCTTAATAACACCCTGTTTATTACAAAATAAAGAAGTGAGCTTAGTAACTATATGCTATTTACCAAAAATAAAATGCCCCCTGTGGCTCAGCGGCATGTCTGCGGGCTTACAACACTAGAATCCGGGTTTCGATAACCGTGGTGGGCAGAGCACAGATAGCCCTTTGTGTAGCTTTATGCTTAATTACAAATAAACAAACAAAAATAAAAATGTTTTCTTCAAACTGAATAAACGAATATATAATACACGTAAAAATACAACGTTAACTACATGAATCAGAGCTAAAAGATAACTTACTTAATGGAGTTAATTCTGTATTACAAGAAAAATGAAACTTATAAGGATTAGTATGCTTTGAATCATTGGGGTACTCCTCAATCCTACTAATGTCTCACGAAATTCGACAAGATTATAATAAATACATATTAGGTTTAAACCCGTACTTTAGGATAACAATGT